GCGCTTTACTTCTTGTCGGTCCATAGACTCCTTGAGTCAGGTAGAGCTCATCCACGCACATGAGGAAGCTTTGTGACCATTTGGATTTGGCCTAGTGCTTTTCCCATGAGATGTCCAGGTAGTTGAAGTCTCCCATGAGAACCATGCCCCGAGAGTGCAGCTTCAGCCAGTTCTTTGGCGAATTCCTTGTTGATCTCTTGTTCCTGATTAGGAGGTTTGTAGTAGACTCCTACCATTGTGTCCCCTGTGCCACATTCCCCACGTATTTTCTTAGATTCATAGATGTTAGGGTCAGAAGGAACCTCAATAGATCATTAAGTCCGACCCCCTCCATAGGCAGGAAAGTGTGTTGGGTTCAGATGACCCCAGCCAGATGCCTATCTAACCTCCTCTTGAAGACCCCCTGGGTAGGGGAGAGCGCTACCTCCCTTGGGAGCCCATTCCAGATTTTGGCCACTCTGACTGTGAAGAAGTTCTTCCTAATGTCCAGTCTAAATCTGCTGTCTGCTAGTTTATGGCCATTATTTCTTGTGACCCTCAGGGGCACCTTGGTGAGTCGAGCCTCACCTATTCCCTTCTGCGCCTCCATGATGAATTTATAGGCAGCCACAAGGTTGCTTCTCAACCTTCTCTTGCAGAGGCTGAAGAGGTCCAGGTGCCCTAGTCTGTCTTAGTAGGGCTTGACCTGCAAAGCCCTTAACCATACGAGTAGCCCTTCTTTGGATCCTTTCCAGGCTATCCACATCCCTCTTGAAGTGTGGCTCCCAAAACTGGACGCAGTATTCCAACTGCGTTCTGACCAGCACCCGATAGAGGGGAAGTATCACCTCCTTGGTTCTGTTTGTCATGCATTTGCTGATGCATGATAAAGTGCAGTTAGCTTTGCTGATGATTTCGTCACACTGACGACTCATGTTCATCCTGGAGTCCACTAGGACCCCGAGATCCCTTTCTGCTTCCATACTGCCGAGCAAGTCATTTCCTAGGCAGTAGGTGTGCAGGATGTTTTTCCTCCCTAGGTGCAGCACTTTGCATCTCTCCTTGTTAAATCGAATTCTATTGTTTTCTGCCCATTTGCTGAACCTGTCCAGGTCTGTCTGTAGTTGTTCCCTGCCCTCCAGTGCATCCACTTCTCCCCACAGGGACCCTCCTCGGCTCCTCTCAGCTGCCTCCCCACAGCTAGGCTAAGTCCCTCCCACCACAGGCCCCTGCTCACCTCTGGACAGGTGCTCGTTGGGGGTTCCGCGGGCACAGTGGGCTTCCACCTGTGCATCTCTCGCCAGAGCCGGGGGCCAAGTGTGGCTTCTGCCATTGGCGGGCCCTTTTTAAACTGCACGCATGCACAGAAAGGCACACCAGCGCTGTGCCGCTCTTGGGGGTTAGGGGGTCCCTCCCCACACTGAAGGAGGGGACAGGTGAGTGCCCCCCCCCCCCTTTCCCTGACTTACTGGGCAGCTCCCATCACATGGCTCCCTGTGGGCCTGGGCCAAGTAGGAGCCAGGGGAGGGAGGTGACCCTCCTCGGCTCCTCTCAGCTGCCTCCCCATAGCTGGGCTGAGTCCTTCCCACTACGGGCCCCTGCTTGCCTTCGGGCAGGCTGGGGGTCCTGGGGCTCATGAGGATGCAACAGGCTTCTGCCCCTGCGTCTCTCGCCAGAGCTGGGAGCCAAGATGGTTGGGTTTGTTGTTTCTCTGATGGTTGTTTTGTGGTTCATAGATTCATAGATCCTAGGATTGGAAGGGACCTCAACAAATCATCAAGTCCAACCCACTGCCCTGGGCAAGAACGGGTTTTGGGGTCAGATGACCCCAGCCAGATGCCTATCCAGCCTTCTCTTAAAGACCCCCAAGGTAGGGGACAGCACCACCTCCCTTGGAAACCCATTCCAAATTCTGGCCACCCTTACTGTGAAGAAGATTTTCCTGACATCTAGCCTAAATCTGCTCTCTGTCAATTTGTGACCATTGTTCCTTGTTACCCTAAGAGGTGCCCTGTTGAACAGAGCATCTCTGGTTCCTTGCTGTCCCCCCCTAACGCCTTTGAAGGCAGCCACAAGATCACCTCTCAGCCTTCTCTTGTGGAGACTGAAGAGGTCCAGGTCCCTCAGTCTCTCCTCATAGGGCTTAGCCTACAAACCCTTAACCATATGAGTGGCCCTCCTCAACCCTCTTGAGTCCATCAACATCCTTCTTGAAGTACGGCATTCAAAACTGGACGCAGTACTCCATCTGTGGCCTGACCAATGTCTCATAGAAGGGAAGTATCACCTCCTTGGTTCTTTGTTGTGTATCTGCTGATGCATGATAAAGTGTGGTAAACTTTGCTGATGATTTCGTCACACTGACGACTCATGTTCATCTTGGAGTCTACTATGACTCCGAGATCCCTTTCTATTTCTGTGCTGCTGAGGGTCACTTCCAGCCAGTAGGTGTGCTGGATATTTTTAAGCCCTAGGTGCATCACTCTGCATTTGTCCTTGTTGAACTGCATCCTATTGTGTTCTGCCCATTTTTCCAACCTGTCCAGGTCTGCCTGCAATCGTTCCCTACCCTCCAGTGTGTTCACTTCACTCCACAATGCAGTGTCATCCGCAAACTTGGACAGAGTACACTTCATGCCCACATCCAAGTCACTGATGAAGACATTGAAGAGTACAGGTCCAAGGACTGAGCCCTGCGGGACCTTGCTGCCCACATCCTTACAGGTTGATACCAACCCATCTACTACCACTCTCTGGGCGTGACCCCCAAGCCAATTTGCCACCGACCGGACTTTGTAATCACCTAAGTTACAGCTCTTAATTTATTTATGAGACTGGGATGAGATACCTTATCAAAGGCCTTCTTAAAATCCAAGTAAACAACATCCGCCTCTACTCCTCTAAGTGTTTTGTGACCTGGTCATAAAAGGAAACCAGATTAGTCAAGCATGATCTACCTGCTGCAAGTCCATGCTGGTTGCCTTGCTGAATTATTTTTCCTGCTGGACTTGCACAAATATGATCCTTAATAATCTTTTCAAAGACTTTTCCAAGGATAGAAGTGAGACTGACTGGTGTATAATTACTTGGATCCTCCTTCCTCCCCTTCTTGAAAATAGGGACCACACTGGCCCTTTTCCAGCCCTCCGGGACCTGACCCAAGTGCCACGAATGCTCGAACAGCCGCGCCAGTGGTTCTGCTATGACACCGGCCAATTCCTTCAGTACTCTTAGATGCAGCTCATCCAGGCCTGCTGACTTAAACACATCCAGTCCATCCAAGTGACTGTGCACCAAGTCAGTGTCAGCAGTTGGTAGGCTAGTGTCTCTCTGCTCATCTAAGAACCCATTAGGAGACTTGTCCTGACCCTTGTTCAGTTCCTTTTACTCCCTACATACCTAAAAAAGGCTTTTTGTTGTCTTTAATTTGTGTTGCCAGCCTCAGCTCTGTAGTTGTTTTGGCATTTCTAACTGCCTCCCTGCAAGTGCGGGCCAAGTAAGTATACTTCCCCTTGGTAGCTTCCCCCTTCTTCCACTGGAAATATACCTCTTTTTTTGCCCTTAGGCTTCCCTGGATTTCTCTGTTTAGCCAAGGAGGTTTTTTGGTCCATTTGCCCCCTTTCCTTCACAATGGGATAGTCTCCCTCTGCACCTGATTGCTTCCTTTAGGAACAACCACCCTTCCTGAACTCTCATCTCGCCAATGACTCCTATCCTGCAGTGCGTCATTAACTAAACTCCTGAACACACTGAAGGTAGCCTTCCTAAAATCAAGCACTTCCAGCCTACTAGTTATCTTTCCCAACCTATGCAATATGGTGACTTTGATTGGTGGTCACTGTCCCCAAGGTGACCATGAATCTGCAGCTCCCCTACCAGGTCCTCCACTATAGCCAACTCCAAGTCCAGTAAGGCATTCCTCCTAGTGGGACTGTATTCCTCCTGCATTAAGTGAAGGTCCTGTATGCAGGTTAAGAACCTATGTGAATGGTTGGATTTGGCTGACTGCTCCTCCCAGCAAATGTCAGGGTAGTTTAGGTCCCCCATGACAACCATGTCCCTAGACCGTATGGCCTCTGAGAGCTGCCTCAAGAATTCCAAGTCTAGCTCTTCCTTTCGAAGTGGAGGTCAGTAGCAGACCCCCACCACCAAGTCCCTTTCCCCTAGACCTCCATGTATCCTAACCCACAATACCTCAACTTTCTCCTCCTTTGATTCCATTTTGCTTAGGGTGGATTTGTAATGCTCCTTAACATAGAGAGCAACCCTGCCCTTCCCCCCATCCCTTTCCTCCCTACTCTGTCCTGTCTGTACAACCTATAGTCCTCAATGCGTAGTGTCCAGTCGTGGCTTGGGGAAGTTGTTCCTGGAGTAACTGGTTCCATTTCTTCTTCTTATGTTGGATGGATGTTGTAAAAAAAAATCTTTGGTATTCTCTTTTTATATGTTGTATGTTTGGGAAGATATCTGGATTTCTCTGTCTTAGGTTGTTGCAGCAAGAGTTGATTTCCTTCTTCAGGTGATCTCTTTTGGAGTAGATTAGTTGAAGGAGATGATTTCTAAGTTTTTTCTGAAGTTTTCCTGCATAGTTGTGAAGCATATTTGGAGTTGTTTGTAGTAGTCAGAGGATTGTAGATGTTCATTCCTCTGGGAATGATGCTGTTTTTTGTATAGGATTAGAAAATATATGTCACTGTTGAGTTTGGCTGCTTTCTTATTCGTGTTGTGAAGTTTCCATTTCCATTTCAAACTGGCCATTTCTTGCATACTGGCCTCTGGCTTCTAATCTATCACATCCAGGAAGAGCACAAAACAACTGCAGACACTTCCTCTGCCTGACGAAGGGTGTTTGTACCTGAAAGCTTGCAGAGAAGAATTTTTCCAGCTATTTTAGTTGGTCTAATAAAAGAAAACAGATTTACCCAAAGAACCTTGAATGCCTAGAATTCTAAGAGACGTATGAATGCAACTGAAAACAAATGTATTGATTCTTCTTGCTTGTGTTTATTTCTGTTTTTCAGGATATGTCCAAGCATCAAAGCAAGACAAGAAATTCATGGCTTGTGCCCCAAATTACTCTTATGCAGCTCTTTGCGAGTGCCTGCGTCGGGTGTTCATCTATCGACAACCCACTCCTCTGTCCACGGTCCTCTACAACAGGAAAGAGGGCAGACAAGTCGGGCAGGTTGCTAAGCAGCTGGTAGCAACTCTGGAAGCCACTGATCCTATCTTGGGCTTTCAAGCTACAAATGAGAGATTATTTGTTCTCACAACAAAAACCTTGTTTTTAATAAAGGTAAACACTGAAAATTAATTACCTATTATGTCCTGTTAGCTTCTCTGCATTCATATGTAGCCTCAGAAACTATTAGATTAACGGAGAAGTTTAATGCATACTGTTGAAGCTGATATAAAATATCATGTACACCATTATTTTTAAAAGGCCAACCAAAACTAGAAACTCTTTGTGCAAATGGAATAAAGCTTCCCAGCTCCGTTGTTACTGAACATTTAAAGTGTTTTGAGGACTTCCAGTTCTGGGGACAAATGCCAGAAACTGCAACATTCTTAACCATTACCAGAGACTGATATTGCGTGAGTGAAACTATCCATGCATTGGTTTTTCAAATAGCCTTTTCCTATCGCACTTCTGCCATTCAAAATTTTGAGTATTCACTTCTATTTTGCATAATAGCTATAGTTTCTCTCTTAAGAATTTATTCATACAAGTAAAACAAACCCTTGGTTCATAAACATAAAATCACAAGGGAAAGAACATACCATTTACAAAAAATTGGTAAATTGTAAAACCATTCTTTTTTTTTTTTCTTTAATTTTGCATTCAGTTTCTTTCGAAATGTCCTCACTTAGCATTGCCAAGTCATGGGGCATTGGCTAAAAATGGACTTTGGGGCCACCTGCTTTTTCAGGCATATTTTTAATCCAAGTAAAGTAACTTCATTTAATATGTGAAACTGATTATCTTATTGATTCCTTGAGCAAAATCTCCACATATTCTAAAAATAACTAAAATATGGTATTTTTAACATGGCTTTTGTAGCTTCCTTTCTCTTATGGATCAGCAGAAGAGGGGAAAAAGTCGTCTCAAATTGACTAAATTGTACTTTACTAAGTTTTAAAGTTCAACTATACTGCAAAGGGTATTGTGAAATTAAAGTTTTGTCTCAGTTACATGTAGAATAAATCTGCTTGGTTTACAATCAAAATCGGATATTCTGCTTATGAGCCAACCATAACCTGACATGTGAAACTCAAGCTGTTTCTTCCGTATGTATGATTCTCATAAATAAAAAAAATTCTGCCAGTGTTTAGTTGGCCATTTTGTTGCTAATATGCAAGCCCAAATAGAATCCGTTACTCATTGTTTTACATTTCTGCTAAAGATCCCTCAGTGAACTCTTCTTTTCTAACTGATTCTTTGTGCAGGAGGAGAGAAACTGAACATGGTTCACTGTAATATTATTAGGCCCAGCTTCCTCCCTTGTCTGTCGTAACCTCTTTTTTCTAAGAGAAATAAAACTTGTTTAGCTTTGTGTTAAGGGGAAATTACAGCTTCATAGGTATCCAGTTTCTGCATTTTTACTGAATGAATAAGCAAAGCTGAAAACAAGATGATGGCAATTCAGGCAAAATATAATTGTATTCATTCCTTCTCAGCACAAGTGAAGTTTAAAAGTATTTTAAAGGACTTCAAAGGAGGTTGTACTTTCTCAGTAACAAGACTGAGTGAACTGAAAGAAATTTTCCTTCTTGTTCAAACTACTTTGCTCAGTTAATGGCACCAAGGAAATTTAGCCTGAAATGTGTTCTACT